TCCTTTTTCCCAACAGCCTTGCCAGCATTTGTTATTATTTGATTTCTTGGTGATGCCCATTCTTTCTAGAGTAAGATGGGATCCTAGTGGTGTTTTAATTTGGATTTCTCTAATGGCTAGAGATGTTGAGCAATATTTCATGTATTTATTGACCCCTTGTATTTCTTCTGAGAAGGGTCTATTCATTTCAGTTGCCATTTTCTTTTGTTTTTTGTACCAGGGATCGAACTCAGGACCTTGTGCTCGCAAGGCAGGTGACAGCGCACTGAAATCCCCAGCCCTCAGTTGCCATTTTTTGACTGGATATTTTATTTTGGGGTATAATCTTTGTGAGTTCGGTATATATTCTAGATATTAGTCCTCTGTCCACCCTGCAGCTTGTTTCTTTACTCTTAGCTATTTCCTTTGCTGTGCAGAAGCTGTTTAATTTCACATGATCCCACTTGTTGACTCTTGCTGTTACTTCATATGCAGTGGGGACTGTTCAGAAAGTCCTTGCCTGTGCCTAGGACTTCAAGAGTAGAGTTTGACCTCTTTTGTCTTCCAGCAGATTGTGTTCCTGTTGCAATGTTTAGATCTTTGGTCCATTTTTGTTTTGCTTTAGCGTGTGGAGAGGGATGGGGGTCTAGCTTCAGTCTTCTGCATGTGGACGGCCAGTTTCCCGATGCCCTTTCCCCTGGTGTATCTGGCCCCTTTGCTGAGGATCAGGGGGCTGAATGCATGGGGGCTGCTTCCACCTCCTCTGTTCTGCCCCACTCATCCACACGTCTGCTTTTGTGCCAGCGCCATGCTGTTTTTATCACTGAACTTTGTGGTATAACTTGAAATCTGGGATTCTGATGCCTCCCACTTTGCTCTTGTTACCCAGCATTACTTTTTGCCATTCTGGGTCTCTTCTGGTTCCATACGAAGTTTAGGATCATCTTGTCTAGCTCTATACAGAATGCTGTAGGTATTTTGATTGAAAGCGCATTAAATTTATGTATTGTTTTTGGAGTGTGGTCATTTTGACAATGTTGGTTCTGCCTATCCAGGAACAGGGGACAGCTTTCCATCTTCTGATGTCCTCTTCAATCTCCTTTTTCAGAGTTCTGTAGTCTTCATTGCAGAGATCTTTCACTTCCTTGGTTAGGTTAATTCCTAAGTATTTACTGTTGAATTATTATTGAATTTGTGTGTTTTGTATTTTGCTACATTGCTGCATTAGGTTATTAATTCTGGGAGTCTTTTGATGGAATTTTGGGGGTCTTCTATGTAAAAGATCGCGTCATCTGTAAACAATGATAACTTGACCTCTTCCTTTCCTATGTGTGTCCCTTTAATCTTTTTCTCTTGCCTGATTGCCCTGGCTAATATTGCAAGTGTTACATTGAACCAGAGCAGTGATCGTGGCCATTCTTGTTTCTGATTTTAGGGGAAAGCTTTCGGTTTTTCTCCATTTAAGATGAAGTTGGCAGTAGGTTTGTCACAAATGGCTTTTACCAGATTGTGACAAGGTTCTTCTATACCTATTGTATTCAAGTTTAGGGTATTTTCAATCATGAATGGATGCTGGATTTTGTCAAAAACTTTCTCTGCATCTACTGATATGATCAGGTGATTTTTTTCTTGAGACAGGGTCTCACTATGCAGTTCAGGCTGGCCTGGAGCTCACTATGTAGCACAGGCTGGTCAGGAACTCACAGCAATCCTCCTGCCTCAGCCTCTCAAGTGCTGGGATTACAGGCATGTGCCACCACACCTGTTTTGATCAGGTGATTTTTGTCCTTGCTTTTATTTCTGTGATGTATTACATTTATTGATTTATGTATATTGAACCATCCTTGCATCCCTGGTATAAAGCTTACTTGGTTCTAACATATGACCTTTCTGATGACTTTTTTTTTGGTACTGGGGATCAAACTCAGGACCTTGCACTTTCAAGGCAGGCAGTGGCACCACTGAGCTAAATCCCTGGCCGCTTTCTGATGATTTGTTGCATTCTGCTTGCCAGTATCTTGTTGAGGACTTTTGTGTCTATGCTCACTGAAGAGCTTGACCTGTAGTTTTCTCTTTTGGTTAGGTCCTTGTCTGGTTTTGGAATCGGAGAGATACTGGCTTCCAGCAGTGAGTTTGGAAGCGCTCCTCCCCTTTCAATCTTACTAAAGAGTTTGAGGAGTATGGGCCTTATACCCTCCCTGACAGTCTTGTAGAGTTCAGAGGTGAATCTGTCAGGTCCTGGGCTTTTCTTGGCAGCTTATTACTGCCGCACTTTTACTGCCTGTTCCTGGATATGTCTTCTTGATTCAGTTTTCCTAATTCATATGTGTCTAGGAATCTCTCAGTTTCTTCAAGATTTTCTAATTTGTTGGAGGCAGTTTTGTCATGGTGCTGGAGAAGGGCACCTGGACTTGGGCTCTATCCATGGTGATTTTGTTTTTTCATTTCTAATTGCACCCATGTGAGTTCTGTCTTTTTGGGATAAGTTTGGATAAGAATATGTCTATTTTGTTTATTCTTTCCAAGAAACAGTTCTCAATTCATTGACTCTTTGTATTTTTTTTTTGGTCTCAGCTTAATTCCTACTGACATTTATCATTTCCCTCCTTGAACTGGGTTTGAGTGTGGACTATTCTTGTTTTTCTCATGTTTGAGGTGCACTATTTGGTTATTTACTTGACTTGTTCTGTTTTCATGATGTGAGTGCTGACCACAGCAAACTTCCCTCTTAGGAAAGCTTTCATTGTGCCCCATAGGTTCTGGTGTGTTGGACGAGCATTATTGTTTGATTCTGGGAACTGTTTAATTTCTTCCTTGATTCCTTCTGTGACCGACTGAGTGCTCAGGAGTGTGTAACCTAATGTCAAGATGTTTGTGAAGTTTCTGTGGTTTCTTTTGTGGTTGATTCATTTCAGTGTACTACAACCTGATAGGGTCGTGTCTGGTGAGGGCAGATTTTACCTATCCAGTGTTTGCAAACTTTACACCAATAAGGAATTAGAGATATAAGTTTAGAAGGAGAAACAAAATCACTTTATTGGAAGGAGGAGCAGAATGAGGAGACAGACAGCTACCTTGTCAGAGTAAGGTGCCAAGGGTCTTTGTTCTCAGCCCCTTTTATTACACGGTGAGAAGGGACTGCCCCGTGAGAGCTGTTACCACTGGATTGGCTGTTTTAGGCTGAGACCTGATTCAACCACTGTCCCTTTTCTCTGCCTACATGCAAATTCTTGGGTAAGCTTTTTCTGGTTGTGTTTGTTTTGTCAAGTTGATATCTTTGAGATTTACAACAGAGCCTTACATTCAAGGCTGAGTTAGCAGTTAGTAAGGGATACATGTACATTTTAGTGGAGTCACATGGTGAGAGAATATTAAAATATATATTTTATACAGGTATGTGTCTCCAGGTGTGAGTATATATTTGATACACTGAGTGAATTTTATGTAATATACCCCCCTCCCCACCCATCTCCTCTGTACTCAACTGGAGATGGAGAGGAGAGAACTGGGGCCCTGGCTTCCAAGCAGCCAGGATGCTGATCAGTCCTCCCTCCCTCTCTTGACTGCTACTGCTAGCAGGGGTTTAACTCTTTCCAGTAGGGTTTGCCAGCAACCTCACTAAGGCCCTTACCTCTCCCTGCCTGTTCCCCAACTTTCCCTGCAAGTCTGCATGGGGTGGGGTTGATTCTTGTGCCTCCATCTAAGCAGGCTTTGTGGACTAGGAGAGGTCTGTTTTGGAGAAAGTTCCAAGTGTGGCCGAGAAGAATGTACATCCTTCTGCAGGAGGCAGAACACTCTGTAGACAACTATTAAGTTCCTTTGTCTCAAGGTGTGGCTCAGCTCTGATATTTCTGTTAGTTTTTTAGTTTATTTATGAAGGTGGGCATTGAAGTCACCCACTACGATTGTGTTGGCATTTTGTGCCCCTCAGTGCTTGCCTTGAAGGGGTCCACTGGCAGTGGTGCATATATAATCACAACTGTTAAGTCTCCCTGATGAACTGTTGCCTTAACCAATATTTAGTGACCTTCTTTGCCTCTTACGGTCAGTTTTAGCTTGAAGTTTACTTTGTCTGAGATTGACATTGTTATCCCTGCTTGCTTTCAGGGTCCTGGTGTTTTCCATCCTTTGATTTTTAGTCTATCAATTTCTTTTTGGGTTACATGTCTTCTGAATGCAACAGACTGCTAAGTTTTTGCTTGGGAGCTGGGACACACACACACACACCTGTTGGTGACACCCTGCCCCAGGGCAGCCTGCTGCCAGCCGGTCTGGAGTGGCTGCCCTTCTCTGCATCCTCAGTTCTGATTCTCGCACAGCCCAGTGGTCCTTCCTGGCCCTACTCCTCAAGATGAGCTGTCCGCTCAGGAGTGCAGGCAGGGACCCCTGGCTGCTCGTCTCTGGGCCCCAGGCTGACGGCTGGCACTGGAAAATGCACAGAATGCATTTATTCCTCCCATCAAGGTGTGTCACCTCACAGACCTAAAAATGGAGGAGTAAAGAGGGCACATGCCTTGCCCGAGGTCACAGCACTGCCAGATGGTGGCACTGGGTGTAGGCTCCTGACTGCCACCTCCCACAGCAGTGTTGGCTCGCATGGCCTCACTCCTTTCCAACGTGAGGTCCTCTTGTTCTCGCCATTCCCCACTGGAGACTCTACTGTTCTTGGTTCTTCGTTCTCTTAACACAACTCCATAGGAAGCAATTTATCTCACATACATGCAAGGTGTTTTCACTCCGGTGGGGTGACAGCACAAGAGCACAATTAACTCCACGACTATTGTGGGGGGCAGTCCCCAGGGCAGCAGGTATGTATCCACAGGATGTGTGGGGAACAGTATGCAGCCCTGAAAAGTGAATCAGGTTCTGGTTGGAAAGCTGTCTGAGGTACAGTATTGTGCTGAGGGAATGGGAGATGATAGCAGTATGGAAAGTATATGCCTTGTATTTACTTTTACCTTCAAGTTTTACATAAGGAGATTCCTCTCTTCAACAAAAAGATAAAAAGATACGGATCAGAATAACAGGGTGGTTCCCATCACTTGAACTTATTTTATTGATATTCATTAGTGAATAAAATTTTATTGTTGCTTTTTGATGCATTTCAACACACTTTCGGTAGTGGCTGCACAATGTTGATCGTTATTTACTAAATACTGAAACCTCTGTGGTCCGGTCTCACAGTGGTATTTCTGGTGACCACGGGCAGCTCCTCTCTGATGCACAGTGGTCCAGTCAGGCCGTGTCTTCGTGTTCCTGTTACTCTACCTTCGGCTGCAAATACACTCAGATCCGGAGCGAGAAGCTACTTGCAGCGGGTGCACACTATGCGGGCGGGCGAGTGCGCCATGCGCCCCGGCCCGCTCTCTGCCGCAGAATCAGCCTGAAATCTCGGGCGGGGCCTCGGCGGGTGAGCTCTCGGGTGCCCTCTGTGATGCGGGCCCGCACGCAGCGGAAGGACACGGCGCTGCTGGGGGAGGGCACGGACGCCCACTGCCACCCTTCTGGCACCTCCCCAACCAGGGTGACCTGCGGCGCAGTCCTCGGCGGGAATAAAAAAATAACCCGCGGGACGGGACGGACAGGCAGGCTGGGCCGGAAGGAGGGGACACGAGGGATACCTAAAAGCCCACGACTCACTGGCAACAGCCTAGGACCGGGCCCCTGGTGGTTGCGGCCCTCTTCCCGGGACAGGAAGCAGCGGGGACCGAGGCTGGGGAGAGCAGCCCCTCCGGGAACAAGAGGGTGAAACATGTGAGCCTGGAGTGGCTGCCACGGCAGCGGGCGCAGAGCCCCGGCCCACAGCGCTGCTCGGTGAGGTTCTTCCCCGCTTCCCCCTGCTCACAAGTCTCCGATAAGCTTCCCAGCCCTTCCACTCCATCCTGCTGCTAGCACTGCCGGCCGGGTCGGGTCTCCATGACCCTGCTGCAAGGCTGGCCTGGGGGGACCCACTCTCACTAGTGACTCCCGGGCCAGGCATCCCAGAACCAGACCGAACTGCTGGTACCATTACTTCCGGAAAGGAGGACGGAAAGAAAATGCGTCCCATGGAACAGAGGGCTGCAGTCTGGGCCGCGGGAAGGGACGTACGCTCACGGAGCACAGGCGGACTTCAAGTTCGGGGCGTGGAAAGAAAAGCCCCCACAGAGGGGCGCGACCTTCCTCGAGGCAGAGCAGGGTCCCAGTGCTGAGCCACCCGATCGGTCACCAAAAGCTACATCAGGGCTGGGCAAGGCCGGGGTCTCCTGAGCTCCTTCGGGTGGATAGGGTGTCGGGGACCCTGGGCCATGTGACAGCTCGTGGTTTGACACAAGCAGAGGACACGGAATTCACTGGTTTCTTATCCATAGGATAAGAACACGCTCGGGAGTTTCAGTGCTTCTCAAAGGAAAGAAGGAAGGACCCGCAGTCTGGTGAGCACAGGTGACTCCCCGTGGGACTGCAGGACGGCAGGGCACCACCAGGCCTGCGCATGCTGCGTGCCACCTCACCAGCGCCACTCCACCCCGCCGGGCCGGGCCCGGGCACAGGAAGGGACAGCGCAGCAGGCAGCACCACCTGCCCTCACCGCAGGCTGGTTTGTTCGGGGAGCTTAGCACCCATCAGGATGCCCGAGGTGAGCACCGCGGGTGCCTTCATCTGCATGCTGGAGCCCACCATGGTGGGGAAGCTTCGGTTCCTACGGATGCCACCCGGAAGCTGCAGCCCGCCCACGGTGCTGGCGACGGCGGTGGCCGGGCAGCCCAGCGGCAGGCCCCCGGGAGCCCCGGGCGGCACGCAGAGCACAGGTCCCCGGCCCTCCGTCACGGTCATGGCGGGGCCACGGGCCCGCCCTGTGCTCACCGCCCGGGCCACCCCGAAGCGCCGCACCTTGGCAACGAGGTTGAGGCTGCCGACCGACACGTCGGTCTGGCTCTCGCTGCTGCGCACGCCCTTCTTCTCCCGGACCTCCCGCAGGATGCAGCTGGCCGGCTTGGACGCCAGGAAGGTGTCGTAGGGCGGGCTGGTGCCCTTGAACTCGAAGGCAGGTGGGGAGCCGGCGGGCGTCCGCATGGGCGAGTTGGGGGGTGTGCAGGGGATCACGGCCATGCGGGGGGCGTAGGCGGGCAGCAGGGAGCCCCGTGCGGCACGGTCCCAGCTCCGCGGGTCATACACGGCGGCTGAGATGCCGCGCTCCTTCAGCAGCCACACCAGCCCCAGTGACGTGCTCATGGTAGTCGTGGAGTCACGGGCGTTGGTGAAGGACTCGGCCAGACTCAGCCTCCGTGGGGTGCACGGCGTGGCCGCCGGTGTGGACTTCAGGTGGCCGGCACTGCCGCAAGCAGGTGTCGGGGCTGCATTAAGGCTGGAGGGAGAATGGCAGGTTACACCCCGGGAGGACCAGGACCGTGCCAGGCCGGTGGCCACGTCCCCCAGGGTGGCAGGGCAGGCCTGGGACCTCTGTCCACGGAGTCCCTCAGGTGGGGCACGGGAGCCCTCTGCCCTCCTGGTGTGTGCCTCCAGCCGTGTTGGGCCAGCGGGGAAGGGACAGCTCAGGAGGACTGAAGCTGTCGGAGGAGGCAGAGAGGCCCCTCCCCATCTGCTCAGGGTCCAGCTGCTCGGGAAGAGCAAAGGACACAGCACTGGCCATGGCGGTGTGTGCATCACTGCCTGCCCCGGGTCCCGAGGCCGGGACAGTGGCCTGCCCTTCCCCACTGCCCCCTCCCCCTTCACATGCTGTCCAAGCCTATGCTGGTCGTGGAGTTCATGCCCAGAGGAGGACAGCACATCCTGGGCTCCGTCTACGGCACACAGAGACTAAGAAGCATCCCTGTCCCTCCTCTCTGTCCTGCTGCCTGTGGCCCCATGAGGTCTGGCAGCTGGGACCAGCTGGGGAGGCCACGAGGACAGGGAAGGTCCCAGGGTTCGGGGAGAGGCCCTGGCGTGGCTGAGAAAGGGTGGCCGACTTCCAGCAGCTGCTGCAGGGCAGGGAGTCCACCTGGCCTCCAAGCCTGCTGGAGGGGCTGCCAGGTCCTGGGACTGGTGAGCTGAGCGGCCCAGGAGCTGGGGACAGAGACCTCTCTCCCATCACCCTGGGCGAGGACCAGCATGGGAGGAACAGAGGAGGACCTGCCCGGAGCAGGTCCCTGGCATGACCAAAGGGCCCCTGGCCAGGGACAGCCCAACAGCAAGAGCAGGCTGCGGGCCTCGGGGCTCGGGGACCTCCCAAGACAGCTCACACAGGTGCGGGAGGGTGCAGGCACTCGGGAAACACAGCGTTAGACACCACGGCAGAGGCCAGGTTAGGGGCAGACTTGCAAGGGGCACAGGAGGTGTTCACAGGTGTGTGCGCATCCCGCAGAGGGGAAAAACTTCTCGACTGAAGTCTGGCTTGGGGGCTCCCTGAGGAGAGTTTGATTTTGCTCCAGCTGCCTTCCCTTCCTTGAAACACAGGCTGGACAGGCTAGAAGGGCATCTAGCTCGGGATGCAGCTGTGCGGCCCTCTAGGTGGAGCCTGCCGTGTGTGGTCCCTCCGGAGGCTGCATCTGCCCAACATGCAGGGCCTCCCACTGGGGCTAAAACACGGCTTCCCCTTCCACACACAGGCCAGGAACCCAGAGCCCGGCAGCAGGGGCAGCGAAGACAGAGCCGACCTTGGGTCAGGCCTCGATTAGTGTGGGAGCAAGGCCAGCCAGGGTTTAATGGATTAGGGGATCGGCGGCCAGGCCACCGCAGACACACGGAAGCCGTGCGTGCACACAGACCCTCGCAGGGGCCCGGCCCGGGCGGCCCTGTGTGCTCACCCCCTGCCTCACCCATGGCTCAGCTCTGCCCTACACCTCCTCTCGCCCAGCGGGGCCCAGGACGGCTCCGGCGTCCTCCGCCCATGACCTGTGGAGAATCGTTCAGGGTTGAGGTGCTCTCTGGGGAGCTGCTCGCCAGCCGCCCACTCACTGTGCCCGTCCTCGCTCCCCCAGTCTCCTTCAGGGACCTGGGAGGTTGCTGCTGCTCGGCAGAGGAAATGGCAGAGTCGGAAACACCAGTCTCCCCTCCCCGGGAGGCGGGGAGAAGCCAGGGCCGAGGGGCAGCTGACCAGACACGGGCTCTCGGAGCTGAGGCAGGCCAGCTGGGCGTGGGCTAGGCCAGGGGTCTGCACCCTGGGTCCATTGCCATGCACAGCTCCAGGAGGAGCCCGGGCACAAGGGATCCCTGGAGGCCAGACCTCTCCTGGGAGGAAACGGAGACTGGCTCTGGGGTGGCCATGGGCCTGCAGGAAAAGCTGCTAAGGAGAGGTCTCAGGATGCAGCCCACAACCAAGCCAAGGGCAGGGAGGGTGGGCCAGCTCTACCGTCTGAGCGGGGTTTGAGTCAACAGGGCCCAGAACAGCTGACGACAAACACCTGTGCAGTTTGTTCTCAAGCTGGCCAGAGCTGGCTTTTGTTCATTTGTTTTGCGACTGGAGTCTCACTTTGTAGTTCAGGGTGGCCTGGACCTCACAGCGATCCTCCTGCCTCAGCCTCCTGAGTGCTGGGATCACTGGCGTGAGCCCCATGCCTCACTCTGGGGATGGCTTTGCGGGAGCCTCTCACGTGGCTATCCTCAACACAGGGTCTCACAGGTAAGGGGTCCCCATCCTCAGCCGCAGCTGCCCGCTGAGGCCAGCCTTACCTTGGTGTGACCCGAGTGAGCTCGTCGGAGGGGTGCAGAATGCGGCAGGTGGTGAAGGTGAAGGTGGAATTGGTCTGGGACATGCACTTCCCGGGGTGGTTTGCTGCATCGGGAACAAAACACAGTCCTTGCATCTGGTGTGCACAGTGAACACAACCCAGAGACCCAAGCGGATACAAGGTGGGGTCGCCTGTGGGCGGGGCTGGGAGGACAAGGACCACGAGCTCTGCAGGAAGGTGGCCCCGGGCACAGCTGCAGCAGAGCCCTGGCTGCAGGGCCGTGCGTCCCCCTGCCTCTGCCTGTCCACACAGGGTCCCGGTCAGGTCAGGGCCAGCAGTGGATCCAGTTCCGGACAGCTGGCCTTGGGGGCTGAATCTGGTTTCCTCCTCAGAGGTCAGAATTGCTTTCTCCTTTTGTCACTTGTGTGTCTTTTCATGGGCAAACGGATGCCAAACTCTTCCAGGACAGGGAGGCCACGTGGTGCCTGGCAGCCAGGCAGGGCTCACACTGAAGGGGCTTGGGGACCTGGCTCCACTACTGACCCTCGGGACTGTCGGGGGGATGTGGTGACCTCAGCGGCCTCAACAACAGCATGGCAAGAGCTTCAGACAGCACCCTCGGCCAGGCTAAGGGCCGTCTGGTCACAGCCTGGACTGGCACCGGGCCCTCTCGAGACCCCGCCCTGCCTTTCTGTCTCCAGGACAGCACGAGTTGGCCCCGTCACTAACTCTAGGGCTCTGCCCGCTGTTGCTCAGGAGGCCAAGGCTCGGGGCAAAGGGAAGCATGTGAGAGAAAGCGGGTGGGAGCAGCTCTCAGGCTACCAGAGACATCATGATTGCCAGGTTACCTCGTTCATAACTCACGCAGTGGGAGAAGGAGCCAAAAGGGGGAATAAAAGGCAGCACCCAGAGCACGCACGGTGGGTGCAGCCACTCTCCCGCCCGCCCGCCCGCCACAGCCGCTCAGCCCCCAGAGACCTCAAGGGGGAAAGGACGGGGCTCGGAGCCCAGGAGCCTGCATGGGGCTGGGAGCTGCAATCTTCCAGCTCCTACAGGTGTTTTCTCTTGGATGTGGACCAAAAGGAAAAGGGCAAGCAAAACAGAACGGACGGGTGCCGCAGACCCACAGATCCACGCAGATGATAAAAAATAAAAACAAAAAGCTGGAGCCACACAAATCGAAGGCAAGGAAGACAACACAAAGCATGGAATGCCAAGGTGACTCAGGCAAGGTGAGGCACTGGCCCCGCATCATCTGAGCCACTCTGTGCCACAGGCTCCGTGGCCCCTGGCATGGAGGCCCAAGGGCAAATGCTCAAGCATGGGGAGCTCTGGTCAAGGCAGGAGGAAGGAAAAAACAGAGGGAAACCGCCTTCCACTCTCTGTTCCTCCAGCAATAAATGTAATGGCTCAGGAACTCAGGTAACTGAGAAATTGCTGTAAGCAAAACAAAAATGGAAACAGCTATGAAGAGAAGGCAACCAAACAATCACGATCCTCTGCAACCAAGGAGGGCCGTGACCAAAGCAAGCCAAAGCGAGCCAAGGCCAGCGGGGAGCAGCCCCACAGACAGGGCACGGGAGGACGGTTACTGGGGAAGAAGGGAGAAAGCAGGAAACAGATAATCAGGACAAAGCCACTGAAAAGGACAGAATATTAAAAAAAAATCAAACAAGACTGGATTTAAAATCAGAAGTGCACCCCAATTTAAACCCATGGCCAGAATCTCAATCACAAGGTCCCGGAGGTGCAGCTCCTGCACCCCATTAGGTTTCAGATCTTTAATTGCAGCACAGTGCAAGGTCGTTTCAGAGGCACAGCGGCATCCACAGAAGTGAAATTTGGGGGTGAGAACAGGCTGCTAAAATTCAGAAGTCACCAGGGCCCAGGAGCCATCAACAGCCTTAGGTGACGAAGAGGGTCAATCAGAGCCCACAGTGCCAATGCCGGCGACTCGCCCGGCCTGCCAATTACCGCTGGGACACTGCTGCGCCAGCTCTCCTGTCACTGCGGGCCGCCGGGCCGCCACTACGCCTCCCTGCCTTGGGACACAACACAGAGAAGTGAGTGGCAAGGTGGGGCCCCTGAGCCTCCTGCTCCTCCTGGACCTTCCGGGCAGTCAGGACCACAGCCTGTGTGGGAGCCCCTGTCCATCCACGAGGCGGGGCCGTGGTGGAAGGCGGCACTGTGTGACCACCTCACACTGCTCACTCGGGGGGCACAAAGCTCCCCAGGACCAAGGCTCTGACTCCCTGCTGAAAGCTGTGTGCTGACCTGGCTGCAGGGCTCTGGGTGTTCCTAGGGAAGGGCAGATGCTGCACTGAATCGCAGCCAAAGGCTGAGACCCGCCTGCCGGCCAGATGGAAATGGGTCAGAAATCAGCACTGACCATTTCCTTAGGAATAAAAGCCCCAATCCTTCCTTACATTAATTCCGACACCGGTACAAACTCTGATGAGCTTGCAACTCCACCAACCCTGCCTGTCCAGGCTGGGGGTCTGTGAACTCCAGGAGGCTCCCTGCAGGCTCTCTGCTCAACACAGTCCATCCGCTTTTTGTAGCAGCTAAGCGGTGCAGCCACAGGGAGTGCCTGTGTCCCAGGCTCTCTGATGCCACCCAGAGTGGGCCACGTGACAAGTGGCACTGCCACCAGTGCCCCTCGGGGTTGTGGCGCCTGGCACTGATGGGAAAACATGGGTGGCAGCAGCAGTGGCAGGCCCAGCACAGCCCCGCGCCCACCAGTCGGGGAGGTGCACACTATAAACTGGGCTGTGCTGTGACCTGGTCAGGATGCCCGGGCCCCACAGGAACTGAAGCACGATGGGGCTTGGTCCGTCCAGCTACCCCCATGGGATAACCTGGACCCACGGGCTCTGGCACCCTCCCCCCCGTGCTGCTCCCTTCCTCCGTCCTCTGTGGAGGGAAACGGGGCGACACAGGCTCTTTCCTGTCTGAAAGCCGTGGTGGAGCCCAGCCCTTACTGAACCCCTGTGAGCCCCACAGAGTGGGGTGCCTCCTCGTGGGGATGCACACACACTGGGGATGGAGGAGCACTGCTATGTCGCACCCCAAGCTACTTCCTCTAAGCTCACAGAAATGACTTCTAAAAAGGTCAAAAAGTTCTTTCAAGCGCATCTCAAAATCTTGGAAAATGGGACCCATCTTTGCAGTGCACGGAGGGCCTTCTGTATTTTCTTTGATCTTCGTGAGGAGTAGCAGGCTTGTGTGAAATAAAGAAAATGGTCTGCCCGTTTTCCTTTCCTTTTCTTTGGTACGTAGTGTGAAGCTGCTGGCCTGAGACTGGACTTGCCGTTTCTGTGGACGCAGTGGCAGACACATGCACACTCACACAGGCCGTACCTCATCACCAGGACCACAGTGACACCAGGCCCAGCCTTCTCATCCACGCAAACCAAACCCACTGATGCCGAAGCCCTGTCCAGTCAGCTCACGGGCACCAGTGTGCGTTTTTACTTCGGCGCCTTCTCTCACGATGACGGTGGCAGAGGACGGTGCCTCACCTCTCAGCAGCAGGACAGAGAGCTGCATTCGTATGAGCCCCAGAAAGGCAGAAGCAACACTTCAGAATTCTTCCCAAAAGACTGCAATATCAGGGCACAGGAAAATGCTAGGAGACTTTTCTGCCACTTGCTTATGTAACTGCGCCCATGAATCTTTCTGGGGAAAAGTCCTATGATGAGTCCACGTACGAAATGCTCCCAGGAAACCCACCTAGCGCAGGCACGGGCGGGTCAGTGCGGCTCTGGCGGGCCTGCTGCCTGAGTGAGGTCATCGGCAAGAGTGCTTCCCACGAAGCGATGCAGCCCAGTTTCCCCATTTTGTAATAAAAGCTCTCTTTAATTTCTAAATGCAAGGCGATGCTTTAAAGCTCTTAGCTCCTGGCAACGCGTTCCCCTGCTTCTCCTGTGCTCCTTGGACACAGCCCCAGTGTGGTTGTGGCTCTAGGGGACCCCAGACCCCAGAGATCAGGCATCTGGCACTCGGACGGGTTCCATCTTGGGGGTTTTTGAACCACATCACCAGATCTTTTTCTGGTTTCTGCACAATTTCTTTTCAGCTTCTGCAAAATTAAGTCTACTCTTCACCTTGCACCAAGATCTCTACTGTCTGTTTTATCTAAAAAGTGTGTCATGTAGGTGAATGACTTCACAGCATCCTATAGAGGGGCTCACTGCAGGCTGCTGTCCAGAGAAGAGACTTCAGGTGCTGTTAAAGTGCCACGGGGAAATGCGAAAGTCTCTGGGTCCTTGGATGCCAGTGAAGCTGGGCTGCATCTCTGTCCCCGCACTGACAGGGGTCCCTCGCCTTTTCCACTCTAGCTGCTCCCACAGAACGAGGACCTGTGTTAAACCAGGACACAACAGAAGTGGCTCATCCTTCTCGGCTCTGCTTCGGGTGGCCCAGGTGCTGATATTCAGGGGATTTTCAGGCCCGAATTGCCCAGTGTGACTTTTCCTTCCCCACTGACCAGGGTCTCGGTGTCCCCCAGGCGTCTCTGCCAGGCGCACTTCAGCACTGTGACCTTTACATTCTGTGGGCCCCACTTCAGCCTACCCTTCGCGCGCCTGTGAGGTGCGGTCTCCGAGGTAATTTGGCTGAACCACCCGCCCAGCTGCTGGCTGCAGTCCTCTAAGCCTTCACCCTGCATGCAGGTTAGAGCTCAGTGCAGAGCATGGCCGAGGCCTGGAAGTGCCTGTGTCTGACGCCACATGCTTTCCATGTTAAAACATAAAACATGTCATTGAAATAAAGTAAAACTATAATTTAAAAATTGTTTTAAACAATCCATTTTAATCATCTATTTACAGTACAGTAATGTGGAACCATCTTTTCTAAAATATAGAATTTTTAAAAATCATCAAATGATGCTTCAAGTAATACATAAAATATACTGATAATTTTTTTCAGTGCTCAGAACTTTTTCCCCATGTGACAGTAGGCAGACATATATGGTCTTCCCAATCCCCCAGTTTTAAAAAAGAAAAGGAGAATCACCTTCCAACTTCACAGCTTCTCCCTGGGTCTCCCCAGCAGCTCCTGGGACTGTGGACCGCGGCCCCAAGCAAGCTGCAGCCCAGTGGGCCGGAGGCCAAAGCAGGGTCTCCCGCGTCTGTGACCCCTCAGGGACGCCTGGGTCACTCATTTAGAGTGAAGCACTTCTCACACTCCAAGCATCAAGATGGTCCTTCCACTTCCAAAAGAGGAACAGAGCCAAACCCTGAGCACGCCTTCCCCCGAGGGGGGTTGAGATGAGACCGGCACATGGTGCAAACTCTGCCCAAGCCTCCCGCAGAAGCAGTGGGCCCCCTGCTCCCCACTCAGAAACCTGTGCGCCGTCTTCAGCACTCAGCCTGGGTCTGGGCTGGGATGTGTGTGCTGCAGGTTTCCGTGAGGAGTGACAGGAAGGAGGTTGGGGGCCGTGGCTGGGCAAGCGTGGGCTGAGGGTGCCTGGCTGTGCCCCTCGCCCTCTGTCCTCCATGAGAGGTGCTCTGGGCCCCACTGGCTTTATTCCTTGCACAGCCCCCAGGTCACCTAGTGTGCCCTGAGTCCCAGGTCCCCGTGCACCTGTAGGGCTGCGGGCAGGGCCTCGGCTCTGTCCTGCCCCGAGCTCCCGGGGTGCTGTGGCTTTCACAAAGGAAAACTAGGGACCACAGAGACCAAATTCCCGATGACAGGAATGTCATGAGGATGACGCCCCAGGGTACCCCATCTTTTCTGGGTCTGTCCCCTTACCGCTCCCACAAGACCTCGCTGTGGGGCGGAGCATGCCAGCTGGGAGATGGTGACCACGTGACCCCGGGCTCTCGGGCCTGAGCACACGGCCCGAGGCAGTGCCTGCAAGCTGAGCTCACAGCCGTGTTGCCCTTGGGTGCTCGGCTCTGCACTCACCGCTGCCTCTCGGAGACTCAGTATGATCTCTTGGGGCCCCTCTGCTTAATCACATTTTTAAAATCCCCCCGAACAGGTGTAAGTTAGAGCGAAAACAACATGCATGTCTTCAGGAGAGGCAGGAAGTCAAAGGCTGCTCATCCGAGTGTCGCCTGAAACCCCGATCACTTTGTGGGCTTGTTTCCATGTGAATGTAGCATCCAGGTGAGATTTTCCCTCCCCTGTGGACTGGCCCAGCCTTGATCACTGCCCCAATGTGCCCAGTGCGGCTCCACAGAGATCACCAGGGTGTCGTGGAACCTGCCCCTCGGACACGGGGCCACACCCAGGACAGAAAGGGGCACTGGCCTCGGGGCCCCACACCGCTCCTTTTAGCAGCCTCTCCTGCTCCCACCGTAAGGGCCCTGCTGAGCCAGGCCCAAGTCGGGCAGGGCTGCGCCTGGGAACTGCATAAGGACCATCGGACTCCATGGTACACACAGCGCCACACAGCAGGGATGCTTTCACCATCACCCACACAGACGAGCGGAAGCCACACACAGAGAGCCACTGCACATGGTGCTGGGGACAGAGGTGAGGACAGCCCGGAGCCCGGCCTCTGGGGCCAGGGCCAGGTTTGCAGGACAGAGCGCGGTGCCCTCACCAGACCCCTCCTCCTCCTCCGCGGCCTCGGGCGGCTCCTGCATCTCCTCGGGGGAGCTCCTGCTGCCTGGGACAGTCACGCGTGCCCGGGACCTCTCACCTGAGGTCTCTGGGTGCTGCACTGGCGTGGAGGTATCTAGGCCCGGGAGGAGAATGTGGTCACCTGTGTCGTCTTCCTCAAAGTCGTTAAGGCAGTACACTTCGTCCAGGTCAACGTCCAGTGTCCGGAAGCCTTTGGTGACCACGCCAGGCCGGGGGTCTAGAATGCCCCCCAGGTGAGGCTGGGCCAGCTGCTGCCAGTGGTGGAGCGTGGCAGAACCTGGCAGGGAAGGCACAGAGAGAGGAGCAGGTTAGCATGGAGGCTGAGACAGGCTGGTCAGCGCCCCAGCCAGCTCTGCCCTCCTCCTGGCCACATCCCAAGGAACCCAACTCAAGGAACCGACAACTCCATCTTTAGGTAAACGAGCGTCACACTGCGTGCCAAGGTGTTTGGTTAGGAAGCATTTTAAGCAACCCCAAAATTCAATGCATTATCGTTTTATAGACAGCAGAGGGGGAAATGGCCAAACAAGCACAGGGTGGGCACGTGCGCTTGCAGGTTCCAGAGCACATGGACGGACGTGAGGAGGAGGTGATGCTGCCTGCCCCGGACCCACTCCAGAGACAGCAGAGCCGAGGAGGTGGCAGGTGTGACCGTCACCATCTTCCCTCGGGTCTCTGTACCTACCAGCAGCCGGGCGCTGCCTGGTCAGGCGCAATGTAAGGACGCGGTAAGTCCACGCAGAGCAGTCTAGGGCCAGGAGCCAACTCCTGTGACACCAGACCCAGGACTCAGATGCCATGGTGCGTGGTCTGTAATAACACCAGCGTGTGTCCCGACGACCTGAGTGTCCTGACCACTCTGTGCCGAGGTCATGTGCCCCGGGAACCCAGGCTCAGCGCATCCACCTCTAGCACACTGAGGTTGCTCAGCTTCCATCTGGCCACAGGACTCAGCAGGCCAGGTCCCCACTTGTGTGACACCAGCAATGCCTAGGGGCTGGGAGTCACCCAACACAAGGGCACACGCAACTCTCTGCCCTCACGAGATCTCGGCCGGGCCTTGGGTAGGTGAGGGAGGCAGAGGTGGGGGCTTCCGCATACCTGGCCCCAGCGTCACCCACGGCAAGAAGCCCCGAGGGGCACCAGGCTGCCCTGGTGGGGAGGGAAAGGGGAACAAACACACAGATCCTGGTGCTCCAGAAGTGAGGATGGAGGTTTGCCAGCCCCCAACACGGCCGGGAGAGCACTGTCCACGGGACAATCACAGCCAGGTCTGGGGAAGGTTTCCTGGCCCACTGCAAACCCACTTGGAAGGAAAACCCTGGCACACTGAGGATCCATGCTGAGGGTTTGTTGATGCCCACTTCAAGGTCTGGCCAGGTCGTCAGCATGCACAGATACAAAACCAGACTATTTCTCCCAGATCTGCTAAATACAAATATATACCCTCAACGCAACAAGGAACAAGCCATAATGGGGCAGCTGTCATGGAAGGGGATGCGTGCCTGGGGGCACGGCTGGCACAGTGGCTCTCACAGGGCCAACTGCTCCACCTTCGGAACAGCAGCCGACGGCTGCCACAGCTGTGGGAGAGGAGGAGGACACTAATGCCACCAGGTGGGCAGAAGCCAGGGGCGGCACCAACTTCCTGCAGAGCACACGACAGCCCTGCCACCGAGATCCAGGCCACCGTGACGGTGCCATGGCTGGGAAACCACCCACACCCGCGGCGGCCTTCGCTCCTGGACTGTGAGGACCTGAAGGAGCACAGTCCCTGGGCACTCGGAGACGGGGACACTGTGCAGCTGAGTCCCCAGTGCCACCACACCACTGCTGGTGTCAAGACCCCCATGAGGACGCCTGTGAAATGCTGCATGCTTTACCCACAGCACATCAACTCCTCCTCAGAACACGAATGAGCATCACCGTCTCACTTCACAGGAGCCCCGGGGTTGGGCAACTTCCCAAAGCCATTAATCAGTGGGGACAGAGCCAGGCAGGCTTCGGGGGAGGCCAGTTCTTACAGCACCTGCCCCTGCCCCTCCAAATGCATAGGACAAGAATGGCAGGACCTCGGTGACCCGGCCAAAGACACACTAAAGAGTGGCTGGCACCCCACTGCACAGAATGCCAACTCCAGAACTCCCACGTGGGTGTCTAGGGCCAGCAGGGACACGAGCGCCTTCCGGGAGTCACTGCCGCCCCAGGGCCATGTGCTCCTGGCTTCACAGGCACAATCCCGGCATGAGAGCAGCAGCAGGGAGCAGGCTCCAAGGAGCCATGGCCTGCTGGTTAGCACCATGCGTTGGGGGTCCACATGGCCTCCACCTGGGCGGGAAAGGGAGCCGGGGCGGGGCAGGTGAGGGACCGCAGCTGGGGCAGCTGTGAGAAGATGCCAGGCCTGGGCCCCGTGTGTGCCTCAGCCACCCCATCTTAGCCCCCTGCAGTCAGGGCCTGCAGAAAGGCACTGACTACAGAGCAAGAACACCCAGCTGGCCTGAGGGACGACCACGCGGAGGGCCTGGCGCTCACCTGGCCGTGCTGGGCACGGAGCAGGGCCATGCTCTCCAGAGAGCCCGCTCAGCTCGCTGGAGCTTCACACTAACCCTGCTGTCTCCAGTTCACAGAGGGGAACTCGGGCACAGAGAGGCGTCTTCCCCAAGGCCACGCGCTGTGTCCTGTCTCCGAACCCTGGCTCTGCCTCTCGGCAGATGTGAGCCTCAGGGATCAGGACCCACAGCCCTTGTGTCTGATGTGCTGAGCAAGTGAGGTGGAGAGCAGGGTGTGTTGATCACACCTGTAATCCCAGCACCCTGGGAGGCTGAGGCGGGAGGGTCAAGTTTTAGGCCAGACTGGGCAATTTAGTGCTTTAATGAGACCCTGTCTCAAAATAAAAAAGGGCTGGGGATGTAGCTCAATGTGAAGGCCTTGGGTCCAATCCCCAGTACCACTGAAGAAAAATAAAAAGCGATTTGGTGAAAGCCACCTCAAAGGCCGCTGTGTGACCTGGCTATTGGGCTGTGGGGCTCAGACTCCGCCCCCAACTGAAACCGGCCTTGAGCAGAACACCCCACCTTCCGGCTCCTCGCTGCCATCCCGGCCTTCCAGACACCTTGCAGGGCAGCTCTGTGCTGCCAGGTGCCAGCCAGCAGCCTGAGCCCTGCCTGCTCCTCCCCACATGGAAGCGGGCTGGGACGGGCATGGGTGGGAGGACACGACCTTGTCCTCCTGGCTGGCACGAGCTTCAGTTCTGCAGAGCCAGGGCGTGGAGGGCAGTGACCCCAAGGTCTCGGCCACGCCCCGGTCCCCCCCCCCAGTGTTCACACCCTCCGAGAGAAAACCCTCCACCAGGGGCACGGGCCAAGAGTCTGAAGGAAGCACTAGCTGATTCATCTGGAAATCCCACCTGGATTACAACTGACCAGGAAGGAAGAGCAAAGTACGGGAGCACAAACGGCCCTGCCTCGGTCTCCTGCCACCAGTGTCTCCGCGTGACTGCTGCATTCTGCATCTGCCCACACCTGCCAGGTAAGCTGGGGAGGGCAGGTGTGAGCATTCTGGCTGACACCGTGGGCAGACGGCGAGCTGACTCAGTGGGTGGGGGAGACGGGGGCGGGAACCACTGCCTGACTGCCTGTGTGCTGCCATCCCAGCAACACTCTCCAGGGGCCTCACTGGCGCCTCTGCCCGGCTGCTGGACATCAGGGAGTCCCACGGGCTTCTCCCGGGCCGGGGGCAGAGGGCGGTGTAAGAACGTGGCCAGCAGCCACGCGGAAGCCCAGCCTCAGCACTGGGCACGCGCCGGTCAGACCTGACGTACCCACGGGGGGCTGCGCACACACCCCAGCTCACCTCTTCCTCCCCACAATCCTGACAGCGGCGAGCCACTTCCCAACGGGAAACGGCCAGCACAGTGCAGTGCACCAGTGCACGGAGCCTAGAGAGCTCGCACTCCCCTCACGGGCACACACAGACTGTGTCCCAAACAGCTTCGAAGCCAGGAAACCACACAATGGAACCAGACGAGCCCGGGCTAAGACGCGGCTTTCAGGGTAGTGACTTGGCTTCCTGGGAAGCGGGCACCAGCGGGGGCTCCTCCTCCTCCTCCTCCTCTAACTCAGCACGGACATGCTGCCACCCACGTGCAAAGCGAGAGGAAATAAAGACGAACTGCTCAAAATGAGCTTTAAAACATCCTACAATGTGCCTGGACAATGAGTCCAAAACTATATTCTTAGATGACCTCGTGAAACAGTAAAATACAGAAAGCAAAGGTACAGATGATGAAGTCCAATGGTCCCTGAGAGACAAAGGAAGCAAAAGAAAAGAAAGGCAGAAAGTAATCAGAAATGGGAGATTTTATTGAAAGAAAACGGACATAATCACAGATCAGAAAACAACTGCCAAGCTTCCAACTGAGTAAATAATTAAAAGAGCCAGCCATGCCTTTTCTGAAACCTAGGAAGGATCTAAGTCATATAGTCAAAAATAATGGTGAGGACGGGGAAATAGCCCACCCTCTGCCTTTCTGTGGAGAGGACGGGTCCTCAACAAGCCCCCCTCTCCAACAGCAGCGTTCTCCACGGGGCAGGGTCCCCGGGGCACGCTGGGCGCTTCCTGGGTGAGAGCAGCGCACTGCTCCCTCGGGTGCCGAGCGTGTACTCACAGTGCATGAGCAGTGCACCTGTAGTGGTAAGATCTCAGGGCGGCCGTGACTGGGCCCGAGGGTCCGGAGCTCCTTGGAGGAGTGAACGCCGAGCATGAGGTCGGCTGCTGCTGCGCAGTGAGGCTGGTTTGGCTCCCATCAGCAGCATGAACAGAGCCCTAAAACCCCAGGGAGCTTCCAAACCGAAGGAGTAGGGAAAACTACAAACACTCGGTGGCCTTGGCAGAGTAGCAGCAGGGGCAGATGAAACATTCATAATACCCAAAGCAAAAAAAGAAACACGGAAAAGGCGCATTCCCAGGAGTAGATCATCCGAGGAGGCCGACACTGAAAGGTAAGCTGCCAGGATGGGGCATCAGGAGGTGCAGCTCCCTTCCTGGGCCCCGGGCCCCAGCACCCCTCCCTCCGCGAGACCAAGCCAGAACACGGCGCCCGTGAATGGCGCTCAGGGTTCCTGCAAGGCCCGACCTCCAGGTCTGCTCGGCATGCCTTCCTGAGCTGCCCAAGGCCTCCCAGCCCCTGCCAAGACCGACGGGTCCTGGACCGTTGCAGCCACGCCTCTGCCTCCCCAATGTTTTCTAAGGCACCAAGGGCAGGGAAGGAGCCAGACAGCTCTGCCTGTTCCCCGGGCTGGCGCCCAGGCCAGTGCTGTGCCCCTAGCGGAACTCAAACCAGCAGCGCGGGTGGCTGTCGCGGAAGAAGAAAGAATAGGCGTGGCTCAGGTGGCCCGCCTTCTGCAGGTGGATGAGGGACCACAGTGAGTCCCCGAGCAGGGCAGAGAGGGGCCGAGGGCCCTTGCGGTCACCTTCCAGCGGCTTCACGATCTGCAGCTTCTCCGGCAGGTAGGAGCGGCTGCTGAAGGACATGCCCGAGAAGCCGGTGAGCTCTGACAGGCGCGAGTGGGTGCCCAGCGACAGGATGCTCTCGGTGGGCGTGAGGGAGCCGCTGTGCAGCTCGCCCTTCTCTGCCAGCTCCCGCAGCTTCCTCTCCTGCTCTTCCTCGAAGAACCTCCGCTCCGACAGGTAGTTCTCACGGCGCAGGGACAGCCGCCTCAGCGCCGTCTCCAGGTCGTGGGTGCCCGGAGTGCCAGGTGTGCCTGGCTTCTTAGTGTGCTCACTGGGCCTGGGGAAGGAGCAGGGTGAACACTGGGCCCTGGGGTGCAGGCCTGCCAGACCAGCACTCCGGGAGGCTGGGCAGGAGGTGGCAAGCTCCAGCCCAGCCTGCATAACACAGCGAGGCCCGTCTCAAGGTAAAAAGTAAAAGGGCTGGGAACGTGGCTCAGGGCGAAGGCCCTAGGTTCAATCCTCAATACCAAAAGGAAAAGAAAACCAGAACGGAAATAAGAAATGTCTGCCCCAAACAGCCCCTGCCCTCTTCAGTCTGAGCTGCTCTTCCTTGGGAGGGCCCTGGGTGGAAGTGCACACCTGACAGAGTGGGGCTGGGCCCCTGCGCAGGGCACCCTGAGCCTTGGGGAAGAAGCGCTCTTGGGGCTGCAGCTCCTCTGCCTCTGTAGTGAAAGGCACTGCAATCCTAACTCTGAACATAGCCAGCTCTGATCACAAGACCCCCGGCTCTCTGACCCAACTGGCCCAGAAGCCTCAGTTTCATAGCTCAGGAGGGTGTGCGCCAGAGACAGGGCCTGGGCAGGTTCTGTGGGGCCTCAGGATGGAGGGACCGACTGCCTGGGGACCCCCTCGGGGATGGCTCCCCGCTGAAGCAAACCAAGGGCATCAGGGTCCTCCCGGCCTTTCCCGCACCCAAGCCACAGGCCGTGTACAACACGAAAATCTGTCCCACTGCTGGACAGCGGGGCTTAGCAGCAGGACGCACTCACAGACTGCCCTCAGCCGCGTGCAGAAGCAGGCCTGGCATGGCTGGGAAACGTGAGCCCAGCAGGCGGGCGGGCGGGCCGGAGCCAGACCAGGGCACGGCGGGGGTCTGCACCTGCGCCCACCCACAGCGCAAGACAAGGACGTGAGGCTCACTCGCTCACCCCAGGTCGGCTGCCTCCGTCTCCAGGATGATGCTGCTGGTCTTGTTGTCCAGGACAATGTTGCCCACATCGCTGCCGTAGAAGCTGGACCGGGGGGTGCTGACGCAGCTGGACAGCAGGGAGTTCACGGCCGAGGACTGGTTGGAGCCGGGGATGTTCATGGGGGAGGGGGTCAGCGACCTCTGCTTGACCACCTGGTTGATGTTCCTCACAGTCTCGAAGACGCGCTTCTGGTGCCTGGGGGTAGGCAGAGGCAGGAAGGACCTGGGGTCAGGCCTTCCAGAAAGGGCCCACAAGGGGCCAACAAGTGCCCGGCCCCAGGGGTCCCCAGGCAGCCGGCTGTCCCGGGGTGATGTATGGCGCCTCTGCACTGTGAAGTCAGGGGGCTCGGGCCCTCAGAGCTCAAGACGCCAATGCGCTATGTGCCAAGGTGACACCAGGAGACACAGCCGTGCCCGGACCCAGAGCCCGACCTGCAAACACAATGCTCATCACCCCGTCTCCCCACAGGCTCTCCCTTTCACGGCTGAGTCCCTGGAACACCGTCTCAGGCTGCCAGCACGCACTGGGCTCGATACCAGCTGCAGCGTCAGTACTTGTTGGCCATTCATATAAAAACAGCGAGACTTAAAGCCAGTCTTCAACTTCAGAGGCCAGGTGCTAAATACCGGCTCTGTCTACTTTAGAAGCTGCTGTTTCCAGGGGCACAGCTACACACAGTCCGACTGGCTCCCTGGACTGGACCGGAGAAAGGGCTTCCTGTGGCCAGAGGCTCCCATTCCCCGTGTGCTGCGCCCGGAGCACAGGGCCCAACCAGGTCCCATTCACACACCGCCCCTGGAGCTGGGCAGAGCACACGAGGGAACCTGGTCGAAGCTCCTCCCAGGCACTGGGTGGGACGGGAACCTCGCCCAGCGCCCCCCGCCCCCCAGCCCTCTGCGGCTCATTCTGCAGCCTCTCCTTTCCTACCAGACACCAAATGCTGCACAAAGGAGCACTTCCCACCGAAAGGACAGAGACAAGCACAGCTGTGGCAAGACAGAGCTCGCGTAGGGAGAGGCAGGAAGCGCCTCTCTTCCCTCCCGACCTCCTGGCAGCTCATCGTGTACCCCAACCCTGACAAGAGTCGGCTGCCCCCAAATCCCCTCAACCTGGACTGGAGGACCAGTCGTGGCTTCAGAGTCTGAGGCCCACACATGGCTGGGTGCCAAGTACCCCGGCTCCCAGGTCAGCCTGGGAAGCCCAGAGCTACCAAACCGTGTGGCGTACGCAATGTCTGGAGAATCGGGCTCTTCCAGCTGCAGCTCCTTGCGCATAGTCCCCTCGATCTCTGCCGCCAGGGAGTCCTGGGAAGAGCAGAGACACACGCTGTGTGGGCGGCATCTGAGGCCCCAGGAGGCACCTGCAGCATCAGGCTTCCCCAGCACAGCACAGGGTCAGGAGCATCCTGCATAGCTAGAGACCCTGGCTGGACACTCGCCAAGGCGGCTTCTGGACACAGAGCCACTGGGCACTGCGTGTGAGGCCCTAATCATGGCTGATGGTTGCAAGCAAACCCCACACTTCCCTGGCCAGCCCCAGCTCTGCCTTGTGGCCCCAAGGAGGGATGGTGACTTACTAGAGGGGGAAAGAGCATGTTCAGAGTGGTGCGATGGTATTTCCAGACGCCTCAAACTTACAAAGCGTCAGACATGACATGGAGGCCTAAGTGGGCCACACCAAGAGGCTGTACCCCAGGTCTATCGGGTCTCCACCGCTCCTGGCTCACCAGGACCCTGACACACAGGCGACACCCAGTGCGTGACCTAAGTGTGGAGCACTGTCTCCCTGGGCCCTGCTTTAGTCTGCCCCTGGGCTCTCCCATCACCCAGTCTGGCCCACCTGCCCGTGAACGTCCCACTTGGGAAAGGCAGGACCCCCATTTCCAGAACTTGATGTTTCACTAAATCATGGATACAAAGCCTGAATATAAAGAAGTCCTTGGTAGGCTGTTCTTCAAGCCATCCATCCACCATCCATCCATCCATCTGTCCACCCATCATACATCTGTCGTGAATCCATCTGTCCATCATCTCTCCATCTGTCCATCATCTATCCATCTATCAATCTTTCCATTCTATCCATCTGTCTCTCATCCATCCATCCATCTGCTGACCCATCATACAAGTCATCAATCCATCCATCCATCATCCATCCATCTTTCCATTCTATCCATCTGTCCCTCATCCATAAATCCATCCATCCATCCATCTGCCTACCCATCATACATGTCATCAATCCATCTGTCCATCATCCCTCGATCTATCAATCTTTCCATTGTATCCATCTGTCTCTCATCCATCCATCTGCATACCCATCATACATCTGTCATGAATCCATCTGTCCATCATCTATCCATCTATGTCTTTCCATTCTATCCATCTGTCTCTCATCCATCCATCCATCTGCCTACCCATCATACAAGTCATCAATCCATCTGTCCATTATTCATCCATCATCCACCCATCCATCTATCCATCCGTCATCTATGCATCCATCATCAATCCATCTATCTTTCCATTCCATCTATCTGTCCATCATTCATCCATCCGTGCATTGTCCACACAACCGTCTAAATGCAGTATCTATTAAGTACCTATAATTCTTCAACATACAGAGTGTTGTGTTTGGTATGAGGTATTAAAGAGAAAAAAATGAAAAGTACAAGACCTGGTCCCCACCTTCAAGGGGCATTAGTCTGAAGGGAAAATGAATAACCTCGTTTCCCTGTATCCAAATATCACAGGGAGATGGCAGGCTGAAGGGCTCAGCCCAACTTCCACAGGGACATTAACCTCTCGGGAAATCCCCTTTTCCACCATGTTCCCCCAAATATAAACAAATCAGGCCAGGGCTAAAGAAATAAGCTCACACGGAAGTGGTATAAAAATAAGTTGTTTTCAGATCACAGATACTGGCAGTCACCTGTTGGTGAATGGTTACTAAGCATACAAAGACCCGACGGACCTGTAAGGGCACCTAAGAATTCCAGGGTGACTTGTGAGGCCTCTGCTAAGGTCAGAAAAGAACATGAGCAAGCGAAGTCTGACTAAACCAAGTTCATCTTTCAGAGGCAGGAGCAGAAAAGATGACAGGCTTGGGGATGGGAAGTAAGGATCCAATCGGCTGTGTGTGGCCAAAGCCACCAGGGCCACACGGATCCAGGTCCCAGCAGCGGGTGGGAGCTGACTAAAGGACTCCCAGGCGCACATCCAGGCGGGAGGTGCGAGGGCGCCGCTCACCATGGGGAAGAGGCCCAGCGAGTGGTAGCGCCGGGCCGTGGTGCTGGGCGCGGTCCTGTTCCGAAGGTTCTTCAGCTCCTCCTGGGCCTCGTGCAGCATCTCCATGCACTCCGCGTATTTGTCCTCCAGCTCGCGCAGCTGCAGGCACAGCAGACGTGGGGTCAGGGCCTGGGGCGCCCAGGTGCCACACATCCCCACCCTGCCCAGGGGCCCCAGAGGCCTGAGCCATGCAGCCAAGTCCCCGGCACCCAGCGGACCCACTGTCCCTGGACCTGCGGCCAAAGTGCAGAGTCCTTAAGGGCCAGGGCAGCTACAGCCTCGGGATCCCCCTACAACACCAGCAGCGGGCAGCTGAGTAGAAGAACAGGTCAGCACCCCATCTCAGGCCGCATCTCTGAACGGGTGCAGAAGGAGCATTGATCAGAGCTGCGTACCAGGCCCTGGGCCGGGCAGAGCCGCGACTCCCACAACCAGCCACAGGCGGCAGGCACAGCACCAAGGCAAGCGTGGTGCAGGACAGGGGTCTGGTGGACAGGACCAGAGCCGTCGGTGGAGGCTGGCCCACCTGCCCTGGAATGGCGGCCCAAGAAACAAGGCGACACTCACCTCGGCCGTGAGCTGCCGCTGGGCGTCCTTGGCCGCCCCCAGGTGCTGCACGAGCTCCTCGTTTTCCACCGTACACTGCAACAGCAATGCTGTCACCTTCCCTGGAGACTCAGAGGAGCCTGCTGCCCCTGCCCAACCTGAGCCGCTGTGACCTCATCACCGAGTGGGCGCGGTCCAAGGCCTTTTCTGGCCACCGCCGCTCTCTACAGCCCGCCCACCCGCCCCTCCAAAGCAGAGGCTGTGCTCCGGGCGCTCCTCTCTCCCCGCTGAGTTTGCACTCCCTCACTCGCAGCACAGGCCTGGGAGCCTGAGCCAGCGCCTGCTGTTGTCCTCAGTCTCACGGGGACACTGAGGGGACACCGCATCCTGCAGCCCGTCCACCCGGGGGCACAGAGTGAAAGCGGACACCGGGCTGGGCAGTCAGGAAGTGAACCCTCCTGACAGGGAGCTGCCCCTTCCCGCCTCAGCCACCCGCTGAGGGTCTGTCTCTGCAGAGGAGCCCCGCCCTTACAGCTTTCGCTTTCTTCTGCAAGTCCACGATCTGCGAGAGCAGGTGCGTGATCTCCTCCTGCTGGCGGGCAGCATCCTCCGTCTTCCTGGCCAACTCCTCCGAGATGCCAGCGATCTGCACATTGGCGTCCCCTGGGCACAGAGCCACAGTCACAAGAGGAAGTCAGGCCACCACATGCACAGCAGATGAGCGGCTTCACAAGGCTGCATCCCAGGGACCCGCAGTGGCCTCCCATGCAGAGCAGGCCTTCCCCAGCGCAGCTCCTAGAGCTGCCCGGCATGGGCCAGGCTGGGACATGCTCAGCCAGGTGGGGTGGCCACACCCCAGTGTCGCTGCCCGGAGACACGGCTGCACGGGCAGTTTGGGGGCTACACACCGGCTCCCTAGAGCTGAGCTCCGGCCACCGGGACTCCCCGCTGCCCCACTGAGTGCAGCGTCCCGCCTGCCCTCCGTCTCAGCTCAGCTTGAAAGTTCTTCTGTGTGCTGAGAGCCCAGCACCTCACCAGCATGCAGCGTCACCCCTCCAGCTTAGCGCTGAGCCCCACCCCTCCAGAGGGAGCCACCACTGGAATGGAGCAGTGAGCAGCAGCAAGGAGCTGTGGTCCCGCACGTCTTGCACTCAGCACCCGACCATAAGCAGGGAGGGTCCTGGCCGAGGACTAGCACAGGCAGCAGCAGACGGGGGAGGGCGTGGGCACGTACTGAGCTCCTTGACGCAGTCGTTGACCAGCTGCTGCTCCTTTTCCTCATAGGTGATGGTCTCAGTCTTCAGCTGGCAGGCCTGTGGGGGGGCTCGGGTCAGCGCTCACCTGGGCTGCGGGCAGGCGGGCTGGGCGGGCGACGGGGCCCAGCGGGCTGCCCACACTGCCGCCTGCCGGCCTCTGGTTCCCTGGGCGAAGGGACATGCTCTCGGGATGGAAACCAGAGCAAGCCTGGGCCCCTTCTGGGTCACCGGGCTACGTTCCTCAGTAAACGAGGGGCTGGAGAAGGCACCGGCCACAGGACAGGCACCTCGGGCACACACGAGCTCTCTCTGCGTGCACATGCGCAGGCACAGCTGCTCCACCCACTGATGGCTTCCTGGAGCCTGGGGCCACAGCGGACCGAGCCCCTGAGCGGTGCCTGGGGCCCCAGTGCCTGCTGAGGTGGCCAGCACCAACTCTGCCGCACCGTGTTCTTAGAGGGCAGCACAGAGGAGAGGTGGAACACGGCTGTCACTGCCTGACTGGCAGGACCGGCCCTCAAACACCAGGGCCCACTTTCCCCATGGTAAAGAGAACCAGAATCCGGCTTTCAGCCTTCTGTGAAAACGGAGACGATTCACGTGGGCGAGTGCCTGGCACTGCGCTTGCCCTCATGGGAGATGCCCTACTGCACAAGTGCCAAGCTCCCTCAGCCCCGGTGTCAGCAAGGCACCTAGGATAGACGTCCCAGGCTCCCTGTCCAAGCCCTGCAGAGTATGATCCACAGTGACCTGAAAACCAGCTTCGCCCCCAACCTCCATCACTGCTCAGAGCTGGAGAGCCTGGGAAGGACTGTTTGCTCTAATGGGGTGGGACACCTCCCCTCGGGCCACACGGGTGACCGCCTGGTGCCCATGGCTGCTGTCTCAGGGCAGGGCAGACAGCAGGGCAGGCAGCGCCTCACCTCGGACCTCAGGACCACATTCTCCTCCTCGAGGTCCTTCAGCTTCTTCTGAAGAGAATCCAGGTGGAAGTAATTCTGCACTGAGGAGGACGACTCGTTCCTCTTTAGCCTGGGAAAAATCGAGATGTCTGCTGTGGCCCGGGCACACGTGAGAGACAGCTCGCAGGCTTGCAACCAGCACAGCCCCGTGCCCAGGAAAACTAGCAACCCCGGGGCCCTGACCCAGCCTCTGTCCACAGTCTGGGAGGCACATCCCCTCTGGACTCAGGGAACTGCCTCTATTTAAAGCCGGCAGTTCTGGGGTGCCCCGGAATTCTGAGGAGGCCCCACAGCTTCTGTCCCAAGGACCTGCAGGGGACCTCCTGGGTTTCCCCTAACATCCAAGCCCACCTGGGTGCCCATCAGCGAGCCCAGGCCCCTTGGCTGGCCTGACGGAAACCTGCCCTCACATCCCTACTGCAACACAGTGTGCTCTCAGACATGCCCACCCTGGGGAGGCCATGGCAGCACTGGAGGAGGGGACGCTGCCTGGGGGAGGGCAGAGGCACCGCCAGGGACTCACGGGGTGGAGCAGACAGACTCGGGCTCGCTCTCCTCCGCCGCGCTGGTGTAGAACTGCAGCAGCTCGTCCTTCATGGACAGCTCATGGCGGAGCTGGGAGACCTGCAGACAGCAGGCACCCAGCGTCAGGGGCGGGACAGCCCACAGCCCCGGACAGCTCCCCACTCCCATTACAGGGGCCTGGTGGAGTTCATGCCACTCAAGGAGAGTAGGGTTCTGAGGTGGGCTCAGTCTCAAGAAAAACAGTTACCTTTTGGCAGAAACCTCCCTGTCTAAATGCACAGGTTTTACTTTGGTACAGAGAAGAGCAGAAGGGACCAGGGGACTCCAGACAGTCAGGGACAAGACTGCCTACTGGCCTGGGCTGTGGCCAGGTGCCAGCTGGGCCAATGGCCAGAGCATGGAATCACGGTGCTAAAGGACACAGGAGGCCACTGAAGCCTGCCAGAACCAGACCCCCAGTCCCAGAAGGCCAGTAGCAGGGCTCGCCCACCTCCTGGGGACAGACTCACCGTGCCCCGTGCCCCTGAGCCCAGCCAGGCTCCCCATGCTCAGCGGTCACAGGACAGAAACTTCCGGTGCAGGGCGGAAGTGGGGCCCTGAGACCTGGCCAACCTGACTACTGCAGGGCGGTTTACAAGTCGTGCTGGTTTATACTTAGGATCCAGAAAGGAATAAACTCAGGCTGTAAAGCTTTTCCTTTGCCCTCTCAACACTTGGTGGCGAGTAATATGGAGTCAGTGCTACAGAAGAGAACTGCAGCTCTGCTTTAACTCCACCCAACACAGGGCCAGCCTCTCTCCCACGGGAAGGCAGTCTGACGTCTGCATCCAGGCTCAGCACCTAGACGGGCTCGCTGTGTCAGAGGGGACCGCATGATGCTCATGCTCCCGGAGAGCGAGCGGGGTGTCTGCCAGGCTCACGGCGCAGCCCAGGGCGGACACAGTACGGGGGGCATTCAAGAAGCCCAGGGGTGGCCACGTGCCGGCTCTGGCTCTGGTGGCATATCCCCTGTCAGAAGGGCTACAAGGCGGGCAGGGACCCTGCTTCCTCCGTCACCAGAGACGCTGGCCAGGGAAGGCAGGTGACATGGTGCTCCTGCCCCCCACCTTGGAAGGAGTCTGGGCTAAACCCTGTCTCACGCCATGGGAACTCTCTCCATCTCATTACCGCAGCCACCAAACCCAGACAACCACAGCTTCCATGACAGAACATCCTGGGGACAGGCACAGGGCAGCCCCACAAGACACCCTCTGAGAGAAAAGAGGGAGAAGTGAGCAGGAAGTGTTCAGGCAAGGCCCACTGTGAGGAGAGCAGAGGGTGACAGGGAGGGCTGCGGGGCCGGCTCTGAGCATCCAACCCAGGCCAGGGATGCCGGCTGGCCACAGGCTCCCTCCCGTACACACCACGTCCCTTCCAGAGAGTCAGCACTGTGCCTCCGAAACTTAGGTCCACTTCTGAACAGCCCAGCTGGGTGCCACGGCAAACACCAATGATCCCAGCGCTCCGGGAGACTGAGGCAGGATGACTACATGGGCGGGGCTCAGCACAAAGGCCCTGGCATTTGGAATAATAAATAAACACACCGAGAACCTAAAGGTTTCCGGCCCTTCCCTGGGGCTGTCAGCACCATCTACATGCATCTCCTGAGAGCACAGGGCTCCATGCACACAGGAGGCTGCTCTTGCATCTGTTCCACACACGCCATCAACTGCAGTGGTGGCTGTGGATCCCCCATGTGCCCAGCCCACCTGACCCGGGCACCACGGCCCCACTAGAGGCCAGGGAGGACCGTGCTGCCCTGGGCACATGCATGCATGCGTACACACACACACACACACACACACACACCCTGCCTGGGCGGCCTCACCTCCTCCCGGATGTGTTCCACTTGCTCCTCCAGCAGCTCGTTCCGCTCGCTGAGGGTCTTGTTCTTCTTTAGCAGCGACTGGCCAATGCGCGCAGCCAGCTCCAGGTCCCTCTCTTTCTGCAGAGGAAGAGGGAGAATGGGGGTCAAACACTGCACCCCAGAGGGCCCCAGGCCCAGAGTCAAGGGACATGCAGAACAGGGGGCCCCAGAAATAACCAAAGACTTAGTATGCAGTTCTCCATCTGTGTTGGCATCTGGGGATGTTCAGGGGAGAAACCTCTGCCATATACAGAGTGTGACTGAAAAACATGGTGGATGTTTAAGTTAAAAGAAATTTATTACAGTAAAAGCCACACTGCCATAAATCCCCTACCCCTTGCTTCAAACACACTCATCCCATGTCCTGGCCACTTTCTGCATCAGCTCTGGAGTCCTCTTTCCTGAGTGTCTTTCGTTGCACTGTCCTGGCTGCCTCAATGTCCTCAATTGATTCAAAGTGCTTCCCCTTCGTGGTCATTTTGGCTTTAGGGAGAGCCAGCAATCAGACAGTGCCAGAGCCAGTGAGTAAAGTGGATGAGGACACACGGTGATATTTTTATGAGCCAGCGTTTCTGCTGGATGATGCTCAGCAGCAGCATTCACTATTTTTTACCACCCTTTGTAAAGACACCCATGAAAGAAGACCCCAGAACTGCTGCAGAAAGTGGCCGGGAAAATGAGATGAGTGTGTTCAAAGTGAGAGGGGGACTTTGAGGGGCTTCATGGCAATGGGTCCTTTACTGTAATAATTTAAAGATCTACCAACCCTATACATTTTGATCACCCCTTGTACTCCGAGAGCAACAGACATAGGGGCCAAAGGGACATCTGCACGCTGTCCCTGAGATGCACACAAACCTTTGTTCCTCCAGAGACAGACTGCTTCCAGCACCTCTTCCGGCTGAGCCTGAACATGGAAGCACCCATGGGAAGCACCCAGCAACAAATGAATGACCGAATGGATGCAGAAAGTCTAAAATGCTCCTACAGTGACGCTAACAGCTGGCACAGGGAGGAGGCCACCATAGCACCCATCAGGCTGGAAGTACCGATTTCCTACTTTGGCCACAGGTGAAATAAAAACATTGAAGTCACTCTGAGATACAACTACATCCATTTTGTTGGTTTTGCTTTTTAAACTTAGAAACAATTACACAGCTCTATCTTTAAAAACAAAATCTTTCAAAAGGCAGAATAAAACTTGAGAACATGGGTTTTCCACTGACACCAAGTGGAGGGAGTGGCGGGAGGGAGGGAGAAGCTGTCCCCGAGACGGACAGGCGCCAAACCCCAGGGTAGGCCCAGGCCCATGGGGCCCAGCCTTCCCAGCCGGGCAGATGCCCCGGCTGCTGCTGGGGGCTGGGCTGGCGAGGGCCGCTCTGGAGAATTCCCTTCAGGGCGCTCAGCTGGGCCACAGGTGTGAGGGCAGGAATGGTGCTCCAGGCAGGGGTGCTGGAACAGCCCGGCCGCCAGGTCCATGTCCACGGCCTAAGCAGAGGCTCCGCCTCTCGGGATCAGGTCCACTACAGATCTGCCACCAGCCACAGGTTAAAATCCACAGGCGGGCTATGAAATCGCTTCAGCACTGGCAACAGGTGGTTTAAATTACAAAGACCAGGACAGCCTCAAAAACACCAGGGGCACTGCACGTGGCAAGGGCGCTTTCTCATGCCTAACTCTCTGCCGGTCGTATCTACCTGTATGAGGGCTCTGCCGCCCTCACTTGCCCTTGCTCTGCTGCTAGGATTGGGCCTGGGCACCGTGTGCACTGAGCCCTGAGTTTTGGGCCCAGCACTGCATCTGTTAGGTGGGGTAAGGTCAGGTGGGTGAGCTGAGGTGGCCTTGAAAACCCTTCCAGTTTTCTGACCTGCTGTGCTATAAACTAAAGGAGCCAGCAGCTTTTATTTCTCCTTCGAGTACCCTCCCACGCATTTACTGTGCTGCAGTGGCCACCTCCCTCTGATAGCCCAGGAGTGTCCCTGAATTCCAGCACTGCCCTGATGTCAGACACCTCTGTCCCGGAAGCCGGCCGGCTCTCCCATCTGGCTATAAGTTCTCCCTTGTCCATGCGACTCATGCTCCTCTCCTCTCCTCCCCCAGAGACTCAGGACAAGGAAGACTCTCGGCTCTGTCCCTTCATCCACGCTGGCCACAGTGTCTCCCCAGAGGATTCCTCATCCCATGGCCCTTGTCACCTCTCAGATTCTACAGCTGGGTTGACCTGGCCCCTAAGGAGGGACTCAGAGGTCTGTGGTGGGGGAGCCCAGAACAGAAAGCTGGTGTTCAGGGGCAGCTCACAGACAGCACCTCACCAGGTACTCTGATCAGCAACTGGCAGACTGACAGCCACGTCTGTACCTCTGTGGATCCCAATGCAGTGGCTCCCTTTCTCCCCTAGAACGAGCTCAGGCAGGGTGTCGGGCAATCCACTCTGCTGGCTCACTGCTGGCCACCGGTCTACAAGACTTTCACCCATCCAAGCTGCAGAGTTCACGGAGCACAGACATCGCGCGTGCCTTCGCCAGGCTCTGCCCGCACGCAGGCCTTGCCATGGACGAGTGAAGGGCAGATGGCAACACTGCCGCTGTGTCGGGCCAGGCCAGCCACACGAGCACCTGGGGATGGCCCCTGGCGGCACACACAGGGCAGAGGCTGGGGCAGTGACCCAAGCTACAGACCTGACCCCCACCCAGGCCTGGGCTCCTGGCTCTCCTCACCCCTAGGGGGGCTCTCCTGGGTCCTACACTGGAAACCTGACCCACACAGGGATCACACAGACCATTGCGGGGG